AAGATGTCGACTGATAGATTGACGCGAACTAAAAGAGTGTGAGAAAAACGTGAGAAGGCGACGAGGAGGAACACCCCTCCCCCACCCCACCCCCTCTTCCTAACCCCTCCCAGTTCGTTAACGTGAGTGACGCCACTTCCACGAAAGCTCTATTCCCCTATTATGTACAACCTCTCCACCGCAACCACAGCTGTCGCCTTAGACTTACGCCCACGAAGGAGCACGACACAAAGGACCGAGTGAGAATCGCATCACTCACCTACATAAAATGCCTTGTTCGGAGAACGTTTGCTTCACAGACACCGACTGATTTTTCTTACGACACTTCAGCTGCACTCGAGTGGAGCAGCTCTGGACGCGTGCTGCTGTGAAATGTCCCGGTTTTCGACGTACGTCAAAGCAGACAGTTGCTCGGGAATTTCTACAACAGATTCAGTTTTTGACATTACGGACATTTGCATTTCCCCCCTGATTCTATATTTATCATAATTTGTTTATAGAACACTGTATGCATATTATTATTATTCGTATTTTACGGACAGAAGAGTGTAAGCAATGGCCCAAGCAAATCGGAAGTTGCAAACAGAAGCGGAAGTTACAAGCCGAAGCCAAAAGTCTTGTGGTTACTTCTCGCCCGTGGTGATGATGATGATGATGTGCATTGTCTTCGCTATGTAAACTTACTGTACCTTTGATTCCCTGTACAAATAGAACACGAATGATTAGGTTGTATTTAAGAGAGTCATTAGCATGCATAGAATTTGACTTTTTCCTCCGAACTGATTACCTTTTTAGCCTGTTGTCTTCAGACATTTCATGAAGTGTTTCGTGTATGTTTGTGTAGACAGATAGGAAAGGATCCACATGTACGTTATTATCAATATACTTGTCTGTAAGCAGTTTTCTCCTTGTTATCGGATTTGTCCTTCACCTATCAATGTGCTTTCTTTGTGACCACGTCAACAAAACAGTCCAGCATCTGATCTTTGAATGTCCTAAACGACAGGATCTCCGGCGGCAATTTCTTCCTCCCATCTCTACTCTTGACAATACCCCATACTGTATCTTAGCTAAAGAACACATTTCGAAGACTTCGATGGGTTTTTTTAAAGATAGCGTTGGAACACAGAGCACACACATTCTCAAAGGCTAGTAACACATTCTCAAAGGATAATAACACATTCTCAAAGGCTAGTGGATTAACAAAATATTAACAACAATAATATTCGCAACAACGGCAACGACTACAGCAGCAACACAGAAACAACAACAACAGAAACAACAACAACAGAAACAACAACAACTACTACAATGTATCACTCGCTGGGCGTCCTCCAATCTCCTGTGATTCTTTTTTCTTCTTCTAGGATTCGTCGTTTGGCATCTGTTCCTCTTCCTTCTCTTCTTCTCGTTCTCTCTTATTCTATCTTTTATTCCCAGACCTTCTTCATTGGTGTATCGGATTGTAGATTAGCCTTAGTAAGCAGACGAATGGAGTTCGATTATTTTTATTTTTATTTTTTTATTAAAAATTTTTTTCTACGGGAATGTTGAGCCCTTTTCAGCCTGGGTTGATGCTGACAGAAAATCTAGATACCCCATGTCTTATATGGCATTAATTGCGTCAGAGCATGCATCGCCAACATTTCTATTTATTTATTTCATCCGTTTCTGAGGACGTTTTACGAAACCAGAGATTTTGGGTTTTAATCCTGTCTGAGACAGTACCCACAATTAGTTTTCCAGAACAATGTTGCTAGTTTGTACTCTTGCCACTGAAAGAAATAAAAGGACACTTGACTCGGAAAAAAGGCCTTGAACATCCTTCTGCCTGTGGGGAAATAGGATGAACAGGAGACTGGGGTAGATCATAGAAAACTTACGCAGAGGACCTGAACAGATTAGAGATAGAGCAACTCATTATCTCCTCCTGGTGTCATCTGAAGCAGTTGTACATTGACCTTGACATCCCCCTGTCTTGTGCATTCTCTTTCTGTTATGATAATAATAAGTGCATATTTTATAAAGCACATATCCACGCTCTACGGCATTCTCTATACGCTTTACAACTTTTGCTACCCCAGATGACTCTAAGACACCCAGAAATGTTCTCGGCTTCCCGGGAAGCATAGAAGGCAAGCTGCAGTTTGCACGCGTTCAAACACTAACGAACTGACAAGATCTTTCGCTGTCTATAGCCGGGTACCTGTTCCCACCTGGGTGAAGTGAGGGAGATGTGGGCAAAGTTCATTTCCCACGGACAAAATGTTGGGCCCCGGGTGGGATTTGGTCCCACTACTTTGCGGTTGTGAGTCCGAGAGCATATCTAT